GCATGTCGTAACTACCAGTCCAGCAGTCTCTTAGGATTTTATATATATAGATACCTAGTCAAATTCATGGTAGAATGATGGTTGCCAGGGCCTAAGGGGAAGCAGAGAATGTGTAATGGATACAGAATTTCAGTTTTGAAAGATTAAAGGAGTTCTAAAGAATAAACCAATACATCCATACTATGGGATGCTACTCAGCAACAAAAAGGAATGAAAATCTATGCAACAACTTGGACAAATATCAAGAAAATTATGCTGAGTGAAAAAAGCTAATGTCAAAAAGTTACATATTGTATGGTTCCATTTTTGTAACATTTTCAAAATGACAAAATTATAAAGATGCCAAAAAGATTAGTGGTTGCCTTGAAGGAAAGGGATGGGAGAAGCTTGTAAACATAAAGAGGTAGGATAGCCCTGGCTCCTGTGGCTCAGTTGGTTGGAGTGTTGTCCCATGCATAGAAGGGTCTCATGTTCTATTCCAGATCAGGGTACATACCCAGATTGCAGGTTCAATCCTTGGTTGGGGCGCATATGGGAGGCAGCAGATGGATATTTCTCCTCTCTCTCCTTCTCCCTTCTTCTCTCTAGAATCAATTAAAAAAAAAAAGAGGTAGCACAAGGGATCCTGTGTTGATGAAACAACTCCGTGTCTTGATGGTGGTGGTGATTATGTAAATCTACTCATCTGATAAAATTGCATAGAACTACACACCCACTAAAGTGCATGTGAAACTGTTGAAATCTGAGTAGGTCTGTGATTTACACCAATGCTATTTTTCTGGTTTTGATGTTTTACTACAGTTATGTAAGATGTTACCATTGTGGGAAACTGGGTGAAGGGTACAATGAGACCTCTCTATACTATTTTTACTTCCTGTGGATCTATAATCACTTAAAAATAAATCATTATGATAATGCAAATCAAAATAACGAGATATCATCCTACACCAAGCATGTCAAACTCGAGGCTGGTGGGCCGAATGCCTAAGATGAGGGCATAGCCTAAAACAAGGCATGCAGCCATGGGCCATGAGTCTGACATGCTTGCTCCACACTCTTAAGATGGCCACTATAAAAAAAAAAAAAAATCAGAAAGTAGACACTGGCCAGGTAGCTCAGTTGGTTAGAGTGTCGTTCCAATATGCCAAGGTCAGGACACACACAAGACTCCAATGAATGCATAAATAAGTGGAACAACACATTGATGTTTCTCTCTCTCTCTCTCTCTCTCCCTGCCCCCTTTCTTCTCTCTCTCTAAAATCAATAAAAAAAATTTAATACTTAAAAAAAACAGAAAGTAACAAATGTTGGTGAGGATGTGGCGAACTGGAACACTTTGTGCATTGCTGTTGGCTATGTAAAACAGTATGGAGGCTCCTAAAAGACTGAAAATAGAATTAATCCCACTTCTGAGTTTATATCCAAAAGAATGGAAAGCAGAATCTTAAAGAGATATTTGCACACCCATGTTCATTGCAACATTTGACAATAGCCAAGAGTGGAAACAACCCAAATATCTATAGACAGATGAATAGATAACACAACATGTCATACACACACACACACACACACACACACACACACACACACACGCACGCAATATTAGCCTTTAAAAAGAGGGAAATTTTGTCAAATGTATGGATGAACTTTGAAGATACTAGGCTAAGTGAAATAAGCCAGTCACAGAAAAAAAAGATACTGTATGATTCCACTTATACAAAGTATTTAAAATACTTAAAATCACAAAAACAGAAAGTAGAATGGTGATTATCAGGGGCTGCGGGGAGGGACAGATGGGGAGTTGTAGTTTAGTGGTATAGAGTTTTAGTTTTACAAGATAAAAAAGGTCCAGGGGTCAACAATGTGACTATAGTTAACACATACTGAACTGTACACTTAAAACTGGTAAGATGATTAAGTTTTATATTGTATTTTTTACTACACTAAAAAATTTTTAAGCTGAAGCAAAACAGCAAAATGTTAAGCCTTAATAAAGTTGGGTGGTGGTTTTAAGGTGTTTGTTATATCTCCAACTTCCATTTATATATGTTTGTAATATTTCATAATAAAACATTTTTAAGTAGCTACTTTTAAATGGACAGATTTCTATAATTTTGAGGCCCAGTATAATGACAATACAGAATTTTGCTCTGTTTTCATTTTGGGCATTCAAAATTAAAGTTTCTAATTCACTGGTAATAAATTAGGAATTAGTCTCATAATTCTGTTGAGATAAATAGACAAATGAGGAAATGACAAACCACAAACTAACTCCATATATTAAATATCAACTGATAATGTCAAGACAATTGGGAATTTTAACTAGAACCACATTTTTCTCAGATTTTTATTTAAAAACATCTAGTCAAGTAAAGCCATTCAGAATCTCAGAATCAATTCCTTTGTTCCTTTCTAAGGAGCTGCCTAGGCAAAAACTATTTGCCAACTGAGATTAAGCACTGTCTTTTTGCTTTGTTCTTTAGGACCTAAGGCTGTCATAAAGTTGTGTGTCTTTTTCCAGTTGAATAAAAGGGAAAATTGTACTTCACTGAACAAACATTTGAGCACAGTGCCAAATATTGTGCAAGATTACCAAATTCCTGAACTTTGTGTTGTAGTCTTTAATTCGTTAACAAATTACCTTTCACAATTTATCACCAGAAATGATATTACTAAAAGTTTCATTTTTTTAAACATACCACAAAAAACTGCTCTTGGACAGCACATGTCTTCCTTCTGAAAACATTTCTGTTCTGTTGAGGTTACCAAGTGACCCACTTTGGCAAAATATCAAAGCAGGCAGCTGTATGACTAACTTCTGGCAACGGCTAGAGCTCCCGGCAAAATCATCGTTACCCACCATGACTCTCCACCCAGGCCACTCCGAGTCAGCAAGCATGACTCAGGAGAAGCTGCGAGCTGGAGACAAGCTGACTCACGGCTGGGTTTACAAACATGAAAATTCATGCTTTGCAACATAAACATTTTATCAACTACCTCCTGGCCCAACATTATCTTACAGACATTTCATTCCCATCTCCTGGTTATTAAAATAAGTAGCCCTTACCAAGAGTTAGTGAATTTAATTTAAAGTGTCTAGGTGTTAACTCCTACACCTGTCCCTACTGACCTCGTTTCCTAAGGTTGTGCTTAGAAATGTTGTGCTCGAACGACCTTTTCTAAGGGACACCCCGCTAATGGTGTTCACCCGGGAAGGTCGGTACCGCAGGACCCTCTGCAGGTGTATTCACCCTCCCCCCCTTATGACTCAGGCACCGGAGCCCCACAACCCCGCCCGCCCGTTCCCCCGGCGACCGTCTCTCCGACCAGCGCCCACGCCCGGGGCGCAGCGCGCCAGCCGGTCCTGCGGGTCCACCCCCTTCAGTGCCACTCGCACAAGCAGCACATTAATGGCGGAAACATTCGTCACTTCCTGGTGCACGGATTCCCGGTCCCTGAGGAGGGTTTTCGGACCCCTAACCTGCCTTTCCTGTTCCCCACCGACGTGTAGGGAAACGGCCGGGAGGGACCAGGACGGCGGGGGAGGGGTGCGGGGGGAGGGGTGGGGGGTGCGGGGTCCCGCCGAGGGCGCCCCTCAGGGGGTCTCCTCCACAGACGCGGCACGAACTTCGTGAGGACGGAGCAGAGTAAAGTGTGACGAACGTGTGACGGCTCCAGGGCCGGGGGACAGGGGAACTCACGGGAAAGCGAAAACAAGCCAAACAATGGGGCCATGCGCAGCCAGCTTGTAACGAACAAGCCATTATCTCCCCAACACTAGAGAAACGATTAAAAAAACCCCAATGTTTGCGGGCACATCCCCAGTAGGAGGTGTGCAGGAGGCAGCTGATGGATGTTTCTCTCTCATCGATGTTTCTAACTATCTCTCTCCCTTCCTCTCTGTAAAAAATCAATAAAATATATAAAATATATAAAATAAAATAAACCCCAATGAGAGAACGCAGAGAGGGAGGGGGAGGGGAGGGGCAGTTTCACCCCTAAGCGGGGGGCCAGCGGTGAAGGTGGAGTTCCGGGAAGGCCACGCAGGCGGCACAGGGGCCCGAGAACCACCCGCACCCGACGCCAGCGGAGGCGGCCGAGGCCACAGACCGGAGGGCGTGCAGCACCTCCCCCGTCTGTGCCTCAAGCCGGACGCACAGTTTGCTTGACTTGCTTTTTCAGTGAAGGTGCAGCTTTAATAAACTAGCTTCTCACAACGCATCAAGGCCTCTCCCATAGATTCACTTATATGCGAAGGCAAGGATGGCGCCCGGGGCGGCCCCCTCCCACTGAGGCAGGGGCGGTCCGGGAACCCCTGGCGGCGGTGAGGGGCCGGCAACAAAGGCACCGACTGTAAAGAGGCGCGAGGAAAGCTCCACAAGCAAGAGCAACAATAAGTCGCCAGCGTGCGAGCGCGGGTTCCTCAGGCCTCGGGCGGTGGGCTTGCGCTTCACAGCGGACACGGCCCCCGCCCGGCTCCCGAGACTTCCGGGCCAGATGGGGCGGCCTTCCCGGAAAAGCCTCCGCGGAGGCCCCTGCTCCCTGGCCGTAAGACCGCAACGCGCCGTTTTCAGGTCTGGTACCCCTCCCCCATCTCCAACCGGAAACGCCCTGCCGTCCCAGAGGCGCGCCTCTGCGGCGCACGCGCACTCAGTCACTTAGCAACGTCGGCTCTCCCTGCCCGGAGCCCAGCAACAGCGGAGCGCCCAGCCCGCAACCAATCACCGCCGGCCTCGTCTTCACCCACCTCACCAATCAGCGCCGGCGCCGCAAGGAAGTTTCCAGAGCTTTCGAGGACGGTTCCCTCAACTTGAATTCATCCGCCTGATAACTTTACTACTTTTTCCTAAAGGAGGAGAAGGACAGCCTGGAATAGAGAGGAAAAGAATTTTTAGGGCCCCTTTTCCAGATTCTGAGGAGTTTGGGGCTTACTTGGAAGGATCTAACTGCGTCGCGGGAGGTGCGGCCGAGAGAACTATTTTCAGTGGCGCACGGACACGGCGGCTACGTAGGAGTGATTAGCCCACAACAGACGTTGCATAAATTTCAGCTCCGCCTAGCCGGAACTTGCAGACGCGCCAGACGTTGTAGGGGCTGTGTCGTTGTTGAGGAGACTCGACGGGTTTGGACTTGCGGTATTTTCGCACTCGCTAACAGGTACTGGCCCGCAGCCTTCGAGACCTGGCGGGGGCCGGGGTTGGAGGGAGGGCGGTGCTGAGGGGACTGAAGTGAGAGGAAACTGGCCGGGTCTTGGGCTGGGTGCGCCTTGGTGGGGGGAGGGGAGGAGCTGACGCGGCGTCGCGTCGCCGGGCCTTTCCGGAAGGTGGGCCTTGTTTACGTGAAGGGAGCGGGGGCAGTTGGCGCGCGCGGAGAGGGGCCAACAGACGCTTAACCGATGGCGGTTCCATCGTGTCTGTTTCAGAGGGGGAAGGCGGAAAAAAGGTAGTGTGACTTCTGGAAACCTTTTCATTTCGAATCGCAACACAGATGTCGCTTACCAGCTCCGTTTAAAAGGGAATTTTTATTTTCCGTGTCCTGTGGGTTTTTTTAAAATTTTATTTTAGGTGCTATGCTTAAGTTTTGGGGAAATTCTGGGGTTAAAGGAAGAAAGCTCTGGATGGTAAATTTACAAAGCACTTTCGATACTACAGTATAAGTTGAAGCCTTGACTAAATTAAAATTTCGTATTTAGCCCTGGCCGGGTGATTCGGGTGATTGGGAACCCCGTACACCAAAAAAGGATGGTGGGCTCGAGCCCAGGGGTTCGAATGGCTGTTTCTCTGCTTTACTCTCCCCCACCTTCCTTTCTCTCTAAAACTCAACAAAAAATACACAATTGGGTAATGATTAATTTTTTTTTTTTGGCCTTTTAAAAGGAAATAATTGCCCTAGCCGGTGGTTAGAACGTCCGCCTGCGGACTGAAGGGTCTCGGGTTCCAATCTGGTCAAAGGGACTAGAGCAAGAACCTCTGTTGCAGAGTGGATCCCTGCCGGATTGGGGCGCGGGGCGGGAGGCAACAGATAGATGTGTCTGTCTCAGATGTTCTGTCTCTTCTCCCGCCCTTCCACACTCAAAAAAAAAAAAATTTTTTTTTTTTCACTGTGCCACAAAATCTTTTTTGTGGTTAATGCTCACTCAAGGATATTTTTCCTAGTGTTTTTCAGAGAGCGTGGAAGGAGGGGGGAGATCAGTGTATCCTAACCAGGAATCCTCCCTTCGGTGCAGAGGCCAACAGTAACCACTGAGCCAAACCGGCCAGGGCAGGGTTAAATTTTTTTTTTTTTTTAAGGAATGTTGGGTTGATTAACTTGTCTAGTTTTATAAAAATTGGAGGTTTGTGAGAGATGTAGATGGTTTAAAGCATTTGGAAGAAGAGTTAAGTTTTGAAGAATTGATTAGATATAAAAGTAATAAATGTAAAGATCCTGAAATAATATACTAACTTCTGCTTTTTGAACTCTAGGTCAAAATGCAAATCTTCGTGAAGACCCTGACCGGCAAGACCATCACCCTGGAGGTGGAGCCCAGTGACACCATTGAGAATGTTAAAGCCAAGATCCAGGATAAGGAAGGCATCCCCCCTGACCAGCAGAGGCTCATCTTTGCAGGCAAGCAGCTGGAAGATGGCCGCACTCTTTCTGATTACAACATCCAGAAAGAGTCCACCCTGCACCTGGTCCTGCGTCTGAGGGGTGGTATGCAGATCTTCGTGAAGACCCTGACCGGCAAGACCATCACCCTGGAGGTGGAGCCCAGTGATACCATTGAGAATGTGAAGGCCAAGATCCAGGATAAGGAAGGCATCCCTCCCGACCAGCAGAGGCTCATCTTTGCAGGCAAGCAGCTGGAAGATGGCCGCACTCTTTCTGATTACAACATCCAGAAAGAGTCTACCCTGCACCTGGTCCTGCGTCTGAGGGGTGGTATGCAGATCTTCGTGAAGACCCTGACCGGCAAGACCATCACCCTGGAGGTGGAGCCCAGTGATACCATTGAGAATGTGAAGGCCAAGATCCAGGATAAGGAAGGCATCCCTCCCGACCAGCAGAGGCTCATCTTTGCAGGCAAGCAGCTGGAAGATGGCCGCACTCTTTCTGATTACAACATCCAGAAAGAGTCTACCCTGCACCTGGTCCTGCGCCTGAGGGGTGGTATGCAGATCTTTGTGAAGACCCTGACCGGCAAGACCATCACCCTGGAGGTGGAGCCCAGTGATACCATTGAGAATGTGAAGGCCAAGATCCAGGATAAGGAAGGCATCCCTCCCGACCAGCAGAGGCTCATCTTTGCAGGCAAGCAGCTGGAAGATGGCCGCACTCTTTCTGATTACAACATCCAGAAAGAGTCCACCCTGCACCTGGTCCTGCGTCTGAGGGGTGGTATGCAGATCTTCGTGAAGACCCTGACCGGCAAGACCATCACCCTGGAGGTGGAGCCCAGTGATACCATTGAGAATGTGAAGGCCAAGATCCAGGATAAGGAAGGCATCCCTCCCGACCAGCAGAGGCTCATCTTTGCAGGCAAGCAGCTGGAAGATGGCCGCACTCTTTCTGATTACAACATCCAGAAAGAGTCCACCCTGCACCTGGTCCTCCGTCTGAGGGGTGGCTGTTAATTCTTCAGTTTTGCATTCATAGTGCCAGTGATGGCACTACTGCATTCTAGCCATTTGCCCCAATTTAAGTTTAGAAATTACCAGTTCAGTAATAACTGAATCTGTTCAAAATGTTAATAAAAGTTTTGTTGCATGGTAGCATATTTGGTGTCTGTCGTCATGAAATTATGTAGTGATGTGGGGATTCCTAACTGGTTAAAATGGTGTTTAAGGAAGGGATTTAATTTTGAGATTGTCAGTGACCAAAATTAAGTCAGGACTTTGGTAAGCATAGGGTGTGCCAAGGTATAGGAACTTGGTCTCAGTCTTAAATTACCAGTTAACTGGTGTGTGTTTTTCTTGCTCAGTAGTGTATTGCACTCAGTTGCTTCAGGTAGTGAAATGGAAACCTAATCCTGTCTGTCATATGTGAAGTCAAGAGCCAAGAATCAAGTGGAGCCCTTAAATTTGAAAGAAGGGCTGGCTGATGAGAAACATTGCATGAAAGAACTTAAGTTAAAAAGGTTCTGATCTAAGGCCACTTGCAGACACTGGTGTTTTAGGCAGCAAATGAAGGTGGGTCCTAACAACAATAAATCTTAATGACAGCTCTACATTATTATAAGGAGAAAGGTAAGATTGCAACAGCAAATGAAATTTTCTAATTTGGGACTTGATAAAAGTCTTCATTCTTATCTAAAGCTAACGCAAGCAGTTCTTACGCTGCCATACCAATAACACTAGGCAGTATATTTCTCATACCAAGAAGAGAATTTTTTAAAATACATTTCATTGATTTTTTACAGAGAGGAAGGGAAAGGGATAGAGAGAAACATCTATGAGAGCGAGACATCCACATCAGATGCCTCCTGCACACTCCCTACTGGGGATGTGCTTACAATCAAGGTATGTGCCCTTGACTGGAATCATCCTGGGACCCTTCAGTCCGCAGGACGACTCTATCCACTGAGCCAAACTGGTTAGGGCCGGAAAGAGTATTTTGAGGGAATAAGAATCTTTGGATTCTTACAGTGCTTTTTTAGGTTCTCAGCCTCTTTCCCCTTTACAATTTCCTGTAGTGTAACCAGTGATATGGTGGTTTCTCAACTTGGAACAAAATTGGTGTGTGTGTGGGTGATGGGGAGGTGTCCAGAGGTGCATTGTTGAAATACACAAAGCCAAGCATCAGGCCTAGAAATACACCTTGGTAGTCCAGGTGTACCTCAGAATGACTTGGGGCTTAATTTTAGGAATTCTACCTTAGCAACAAACATTTTGAGCATAAAAATTTTGGAGTACTTAACTCTGGGTTTCTTAACACTGGAGATAGCACTTATATATCAAACCCTTGGGAGTGGTAATGATAAAATCAAGCCTTTAAAAAAAGCCTGCCAGCCTGGCTGATGTGGCTCACTGGTTGAGCATCAACTCATGAATCAATAGGAACCGGGTTTAGTTCCCTGCCAGGGCACATACCCAGGTTGCAAGAGGCAGCTGATCAGTGTCTCTCCCATTGATGTTTCTATCCCTCTTAAAAAGACATTTTTGTTGATTTCGGAGAGGAAGGGGGAGAGAAACATGAATGATGAGAGAATCATTGATTAGCTGCCTCCTGCATGCCCCCTACTGGGGATTGAGCCACAAGCACCCCCCCCTCCACACACACCACACACTACACACACACACACACACACTACACACACACACACACACACACACACACACACACACGCCCTTGACCGGAATCAAACCTGGGGCCCTTTGGTCTGCAGGTCAGTGCTCTGTCCATTGAGCCAAACAGCTAGGGCAGAACTTTTTTTTAAAAAACACCTTCCTGCCCTGGCAGGTTTGGCTCAGTGGATAGAGCGTCGGCCTGCAGACTCAAGGGTCCCAGGTTCGATTCCGGTCAAGGGCATGTACCTTGGTTGCGGGCACATCCCCAGTAGGGGGTGTGCAGGAGGCAGCTGATTGATGTTTCTCTCTCATCGATGTTTCCAACTCTATCCCTCTCCCTTCCTCTCTGTAAAAAATCAATAAAATATATTTAAAAATAAAAAAAAAATAAAAAACACCTTTCTTAGATTTGAGGAAGTTGACCTCTAGTCCCATTGATCATTACACAGTTGGTTAACTTGCTGAATGCTTAGTTCCTGTTAGGGGGGAACCAAGGATTGGAATCCAATAAGTGTCCTGTCAACTCAAGACAGCTCATGAAGTCCATGAAATTACATTGGGTTTCTTCCCCTTCAGAATGCCCAAACTAGTGCTTTTATTAAGCAGGTTTTTTGCTGAATATGCAATAAAATAATTGGAAAAACAGACCTTTGGATAGTAAAGCTGGGTTTTGGGGGTTTTTTATATTTTATTTTTTTACAGAGAGGGAGGGAGAGGGATAGAGAGAAACATCCATGAGAGAGACATCGATCAGCTGCCTCCTGCACACCCCCTACTAGGGATGCAACCAAGGTACATGCCCTTGACCATAGAACCTGGGACTTCAGTCCACAGGCTGACGCTCTAGCCCAGGGGTGGGCAAACTTTTTGACTCAGGGGCACAATGGGTTCTTAAACTGGACCGGCGGGCTGGAACAAAAGCATGGATGGAGTGTTTGTGTGAGCTAATATAAATTCAAAGTAAACATTACATAAAAGGGTATGGTCTTTTTTTTTTTTTTTTTTTTTTTAGTTTTATTCATTTCAAACGGGCCGGATCCGGCCCGCGGGCTGTAGTTTGCCCACGGCTGCTCTAGCCATTGAGCCAAACTGGTCAGGGCTAAAGCTGGATTTTTTTCTATTCTTTTTTATATTGATTTTTTACAGAGAGGAAGGGAGAGGGATAGAGAGTCAGAAACATCGATGAGAGAGAGACACCGATCAGCTGCCTCCTGCACACCCCACTGTTGATGTGCCAGCAACCAACGTACATGCCCTTGACCGGAATCGAACCTGGGACCCTTGAGTCCGCAGGCCGACGCTCTATCCACTGAGCCAAACTGGTTAGGGCTAAAGCTGGATTTTTAAAGATTGTTCTTCCCCTGGCTGGTGTGGCTGACCCATTGTCCCTTACACTGAAAGGTCACAGGTTCGCTTAGTTCCCAGTCAGGATATGTACAGAAGGCAATGGATTGATGTTTCCCTATCACATTGTTTCTTCTTCTAAAGGTTCATGTTTAAAAAAATGGTTTGGCTCAGTGGATAGAGCGTCGGCCTGCGGACTGAAGGGTCCCAGGTTCGATTCCGGTCAAGGGCATGTACCTGGGTTGCGGGCACATCCCCAGTAGGAGATGTGCAGGAGGCAGCTGATCGATGTTTCTCTCTCTTCAATGTTTCTAACTCTCTCCCTCTCTGTAAAAAAATCAATAAAATATATTAAAAATAATAATAAAAAAATGGTCTTTTTCACATTTTTTGTTAACACTAATAAAAGCCTTGATTAATAAACTTGAAAAATAGGCCCTGGCTGGGCAGCTCAGTTGATTATAGCATATATACCAAGGTTTCCGGTTTGATTCCTGGTCACATACAAGAATCAATGAATACATGAATGGAACAACAGATCGATGTTTCCAAAATAAAAATAAGTGGTTGAGCATTGACCCATGAACCAGGAGGTCACAGTTCAGGGCATGTGCCTGGGTTTCGGGCTCGATTCCTGGTGTGAGGTAAATGGGGGGGGGGGGGGGGCGGCGGGAGGAGGCAGCTGATCAATGATTCTCATTGATGTTTCTATCCTCTGAAATCAAATACATATACATTAAACATACACACACACACACTGAAGGGTCTCAGCTTCGGTTTCTGGTCAAGGACACATACCTGGATGGCAAGTTTAATCCCGGCCCTGTAACAGGTGTGTGCTGGAGGCAGCAAACGGATGTGTCTCCCTTCCCCTTCCCTCCCTCTCCCACTCTAAAAAACAATGGAAAAAAGGATCCTCACATGAGGATTAACAAAAAATCTATACTAATAAAAGGGTAATATGCTAATTAGACCAGGTCAACCTGCCATTTTCTGGACGTCCTATTCCCTTCTGGACAAAGCCATGGTGGTGGGGGCTGAGGAGAGGCAGTTAGGGGTGAGATCAGACTGGCAGTGGAGGGCAGTTGGGGGCCTAAACCGGCAGTCGGACATCCTCCAAGGGGGTCCCGGATTTGGGAGGATGCAGGCCAGGCTGAGGACACCCCACCCCTGCACTGGGCCTCTAGTATATAAATAAAAATATAGAGAATAAATGCATTTCACTGAATAGCATTTGGTTTGGGCAAATAGGACTTGCACAAATTGTGATTTCTACCAAATTTTCACTACTACTTGACATGCTAATGCAGTGGTTCTCAACCTTGGCTGCACATCCTCTGGAAATTCTGTTTCTTTGTTTACTAATGTTGTGGCCTCACCTCATAACAAAGAAACAGAATTTCTGGAGGCTGAGGCCCAGAAATCAGGATTTTAAAAAGATTCCCAGGTGATTCCAATGTGCAGCCAAGGTTGAGAACCACTGTGCTAATGGGTCTTGTGAAAAAGGGTTTCAGCTGTTCCTGTCTCTTAAGCCTTGGGATCTCTTCCATAGGAATCCCCAAAGGTATTAATGGGTCTTAGCCAATTCACCCTACACACAATTGAAATTTGAGCAAGGAAAAGGCTCTCCCTGTGTCTCAACCATCCCCAATTATAATCTTCATTGTCTACCTTCTACTTAGGAATTCATTAATATGTTCTATTTTTTTTCCCTCGCCCTTGATAATCCCCTGGCCTCCCCTACCCCCCAGTGTCTTATGTCCATTGGTTATGCTTATATGCATGCATACAAGTCCTTCGGTTGATCTCTTATCCCCCCTCTCCTGCCCCCCGCCCCCACCCTCCCCGGCCTTCCTGCTGTAGTTTGACAGTCTGTTCGAGGCAGCTATTTTTTTTTTTAATATATTTTATTGATTTTTTACAGAGAGGAAGGAAGAGAGATAGAGAGCTAGAAACATCGATGAGAGAGAAACATCGATCAGCTGCCTCCTGCACATCTCCTACTGGGGATATGCCCGCAACCCAGGCACATGCCCTTGACCGGAATCGAACCCGGGACCCTTCAGTCCGCAGGCCGACGCTCTATCCACTGAGCCAAACCGGTTTCGGCTAGGCAGCTATTTTTTTATGAACTTTCCTGAAAGGT